ACAATAAAGCCAAGCCAAACCCAGACACCTCCCAGGCAGCTTATTTTTGAGAAAATCTGTCTTGTTTTAGGGTGGAGGTGGTCCCTAGAGAGAGACCTCAGTATGATTAGGAGCACTTGGAATAAAGCTCAGGAACATTAGATTCGCAGATAGAAGAAAAACACCTAGAGGGAAAACTAGCATCAGAGAAAAAGAAAAAGTGAAACTTTAACTTCTTTGTCTTTCCATCATGAAAGCTTGGTTTCCTGGGAAATGATCATATCTGCGGCAGAAACTCCTGAGCATAGTGTCACTCTTGGTCTTTAGATAAGACAGAGAAAGACTGTGAATATTGAGAAAGTGAGAGAGGGAGAGAGGGTGGGAAAGAGAGAAAGAAAGAGAGCAAAAAAGCTTCCAAATGTGAAAGTTTGATTAAGGAAGAATGCTTTCTTGGAAGGGAATTTTTTAAATTTTGATTCCTTAGCCAAAGATGTACTACACTTGTTTTTCTGTCTTAGAGGCAATCTCAGTAAGGATTACATATTTGTTCTTTTAATGGATATAATTATTATTAGATAATGTTCTAGTCTCTAAAGTCCAGGCTCTCACTCCACAATAAGAATTTAAGTCCACTTTTACTGGTCCTTTGGGCAGAAAATCAACACCTCTTTTTTCCTCAATATTATGTAAGGGAAAGTAGATTTTTAAAGGGATAAATAATTTGGTTGATTCCTATAGGTCTTCATTTCCTTTATCTTTTTATTTTGAATTTTGGCCAGGGAAATATTAATCATAAAAAGGAACAAGGTTTTTTATTTCATGCCTTTACATGTGCATTACTATAAATAGGTTTGAGTAGAGGTAGGCAGGCATGTAACAGAGATATTTATATGTAATAGACATTCATTCATTCATTCATTCAACATTAATTGAGCTTATTTCAGCTGCTGTTCTAGGTGCTGGGCTACAAGAGTAGATTAATAGGTAATCATCTCTTCTGAGAAGGAGCTTACTTTCTACTGGAGTAAGGCAGATACAAGCCAAAAGAAATAAGATATATAATATATTTAATAGTAATGGGAGATATGTGGAAAAATAAAACCACTATGGCAGTGGGTCCACATATGCATTTGTACCTCTGGAGTCTAGAAACATTTATATGATTAATTTTCTTAGACTATTTTGAACTTTAAAAATATTTAGGGTTTTGGAGAGAATATTTAGCTCAAGCTGTATTCTGCTTCTGATCTTTTTCTTTTGTGTTCTACTAATGAGAAAGTACTCTTATGATCAATGCAATGAGAAAACCATCCATTTCCAGGAAAATTAAGACGAAACCACATAGGCCAGTTAATTGAAGGAAACAGGAGAGGAAGCAAATATATCTCATATTTGTTCATGAAACAGAATCTCGCAGAAGTCAGTGTTTAGAAACCAGTATGGCTTGGTGATGTATTTAGCTGAGCCCATCTCTGCTGAAAGAAATGTTGCTAAAAAGTCAGTAATCAATAGATTTTTAAAGACCAACCAATAAATTTTAACTTTAGATAGCATTTTGTGCTTCTGTAAAACTTACATAGTTTAGGTAATATTAATTTTTCATAATTTCATTCTTCATTTACTTAAACATTNTCACAAACCCTTCACACACAGGTCTACAAGCTAGGTAACAAGAAAAAGGTCCTTGGGGCCTTGGGTGAAGGAATAATAAGCTTTATTCAGCCTGCCCATGTCTAAGAGCTAGGCAGTCCAAAGAGAAACTGAGTAGCTGCTGGCAAAGTAAACATGCTCTAATTTTACATGTGAGCTCTGCCCAGCTGCTGCTTCACACACTGAAGAACACACAAGAATAGCAACAGGCTAAAAGTACCAGGTGCACATGTGTACTAACTCCTCCCCAACACAACTTGTTTACAAAGAATGTGCTGCACCACCCCCAACCGGACCTGAGGTGAGGAGGCCTGACTAAACTACTCTATTTTTCCTGACAGAACCTGACTTGAATTCTCAACCGTGTGTAATTCACAGAGTTTGAGGGTTTCACTCTTCTATTGTTTCATTTTAATCATAGTGCTAGATGTCACCTGTACCTCATTGGGGGTCTTCCCAGTCATATACCTCAGGTCATTCNACTTACATAGTTTAGGTAATATTAATTTTTCATAATTTCATTCTTCATTTACTTAAACATTCTAGTCAGTCCTTATGTGCCAAATACTATTTTCAGTACTGGCAATACACTGGTGGGCAAGATAGACAAGATCCTTGTTTTAATGGGTGCACATTTGAAGGGAGGAGACACACAAAAATGAAGAAAAATCATGAAAATATTATGTAATAATTTTATTATAAAAGAAATCACATATATTACAGGGTGAGTGATACACTAGAGATGGCCCCGTGGACCTCTTCCAAGAATGTTCCATTTAAACTCCAAGCTGAGCAACAGGAAGCAGCCTGCCAATAATCAATCTGAGCATTAATGAATACAGAGACAGAGGCAGACAGAGAGCTAATGCGAGGAACTAAGACAGGGACAAGCTCGACTGGAGCAAGGATAAAACAAGGCCGCTGTGAGCGAGCATTTGAGTGAAAGGAGAATAGTTCGGAAAAAGATAAAAAAGCTAGGTAGGGTCTAGATGAAAAACAATCACAGGATTTTATTCTAAGTGAAACAAAGCTATTGGAAGTTTTAAGTTGGGAAGTATCATAATAAAATTGCCAGTTTTAAAAACAGAAATCTGTGAAAAGTAATTTGGATTTTATTCTTAATGTAATGCAAATTATTTATGACAGAGATGATTATTAAGAGAGAAGATTCACAATTTAAAATACATCAATATGTGTACTGTGTGAATTTAACTTATTTTCCCTACTAGATTGTACATTTCAGAGGATAGGAATAATATTTTATATTTCTATACTATCTTTACCATTTATTATTCCTCATTTGGAAATAATGTTTAGTACAAATCTCTGTGCTTAGATTGTATTATGTAGAGGAACTTGAGACAAAGAAACAAATTTATGTTTCTTTAACCCTTCTGTTTTAGAACCTGTAGAGCTAGGTTTGGGTCTGGAGCTCACAGACCCCTCAAGCCTGTTGTCCAGACTGG